GCAACAAAATAGGCCGCGAATTGATTGAAGCCTGGGCCTCGGATGAGAACTCGTCGATCTGGCGCCGGCATAAATGGCGCTGGCCCGGTATCTCCGGACGGATGGCACTGGTGGTTGACTGCGCCCCCCCCGTCTTGCCCCCTCTCCCCTTCATAATGCTCGATTAGCCCCTGCGTCCTATAACTGTTGCTTGTCTTTCGTTTACGCCTTTTATCTCTGACAATGGGCTTCAGAAAGAGCCCGAAAACTCAGACAAGTAAAAATATGATTCCGGTGATCGCTACGCCTTCTCCTATTCTATCTACTCAAAAAAGGCAAATCTTATCTCTTTCAAAAACGTAATCTGTGAGATGGAAGATATTTTTATGCGGATCAGTAAGTGCCACAGCCAAAATCAGGTTGATCAGATTTTAACGTGAAAAGGGACGAAACAGACTTATATAAACCAAAACTGCCTCAGCAACAGTCGTATGTTTTTACCGTTAGTTGGATGGAGAAGAAAATGCAATAAAGGTCAAGTAAAGTTACAAATACTAAACGCGACGGGATTCAATCCTGTGGCAGAAACGGGAAGGTTTAAATAGATCTTATTCTCCAAAACCGTATGTTGTCTTAATTTATGTGGTGCTTGCTCAGCTAAAACCATACCATTTAGGTCGTACGTTTGAATAACTCCACAAATAGTTAATCGTTCACAATAAGAGCGACAGCTCAATAATTCAAGTGCCTCCTTGACGTTTGTCTTACCTTTTTCTAGGTGAAGAAAATACCCGAATTCAAATGAATGAATTTATCAGAGTAATAATACCAAATAAGGAAACTGTTTGCACAATCGCCTGGCTGTGAAATATAGTACAGACGGCCAAAGATACAAATTAGTTCAACTGACATTCAACTGAAATTTAAACTCGCCACCTACTTTGTGCTGGTGCTTGGTGCTTTCCGGTACATTGCCCACGTGGCCTGTGAAGTGGATCTCTTATCTGCGGCATAACAGCGCCACAAACATTGGATCAATGTGGCAGCTGGTATTCTTCTTCGAATCAAATGTTTCTGTCTTTGCTGCTGTTGGACTTTGAGTGCAAATCCGCTGCCTAAAATACTCTGAAAGTTAAATCGAAAATGAAGCATATGATAATTCCCGATGAAGGATAATTTGATGAGAAAACAGAATGTAATTAAGTGCTTGAGTTCTCAGTAAAATACGTTTGATAATGCCGACTTCGATGGCGCCCTAGCAGGGCATGAGAACAAGAAGCGCTCAATATGCAAGTCTTTTGCAGCAGATTGCAAGGAAACGTCAGTGAGTTTTATGCTTAGGATTATGGTTGTTCTTATAGTTACGTTTACATTTCGTTTTAGGGTTAGCGTAAACGTAAGTTAGGGGAAATTTAGTTGTTGGGGCTAATTTCATATTTAGGATTTTAAAGCAGGGTTAACGTTTATATTACTTATAGGGTTCGGGTTAATGTAAGGGTTTAGACAAGGACATGTTTATCATTTCTGGAATTATTCGCAGGGGTGTGATAATTCCTTGAATGGGCACGTCTATTCTCCTCTTATGTTTAGTGGGCCATATAAGTAATTATTGCCACAATTTTTACAAACTCCGGTTTCGATGCCGAAAATAACTTTAAATGCGCCTCCTCTCCCAAGGGGCACAAGAATGGTTATATGTTTCACAGCTATAGCTTCTATTCTAACATTGCACGCTACTAAAGGTGACAATTGTAAATTACTGCGTAGTGTAAAATCAGCTTGCTCTTTGTTCAACCGGTTTAATGAGTAGACGGCCAGCCTCACAATTTTAACGTGGATGGGGCTATTTATGCATTCTAATGTTCTATTTTGCGTACACTTCAAAACAGCAGCCTTTTGCACATCTACACTTGTACGACGGTCGAAGAGGGTAGTTCTCTTCTGCGGCTTCGAGCGAAAATTCGTCGTTCAGGCTAGCTGACTTTAGATTTCCCCTGAGGTGCTTAATGTGATTTATATGGATAAAAGCCAGTTAAGAATTTCTTTTGCTGGTTGATATAAACCAAGCACTCTTTTTGCAAGAGCATGGATTCCGCAGACTCATCAAAGAATAGGTATAGTACAAAGACGTCACTCTTTTTAAATTGAATGTTTGAATCGAAAACGTCATGACGTATTTAAATTTTAAGATGTTATCTTTGTGAATAAATCACCAACCGCAACTTCCACCGCGTTTTCTCTGCGGGAAATTGCGAGTTAAAATTAATGAGTGGAAGATGAGGGAATGAAAAGGACTGGTGGATTTTGGTCTTCATATATACCCGCGTTAGCTTAAATCAATCACGGAGTATGTTACCATGTTTGAACTTTTATCTAACAAACGGAGACTACCAATACACCAATTTATCGAACGCTTTCATATGGAAACGTTTATGAAAATGCAGCACCGAGAATTAACACAGTGACTTTATCAGAAGATTTTGCAAGGAAATAAGGCGGCTAAAAGGGTGAAAATAGCTATTCCAGATATCGCGGCCTTTGATCTTAATGGATGTAGGATCTATCGTTATGTGGTCTCTGTTAGGCCTGAGAATGAGCCCTAAGTCACAACCGGACGAATAAACACGCTTGCTAGTACTGTAATTTATGTTTACGTTCTTATATTGAACCGTACGAAAACGCATTCGAAGTATCAAAAACCAGTTGGTACTTCAGGATATTAAGAAAGGCCTTTTTTTACAGCAGCGAAGAGCTATTCACATAAAGCCAGTCTGAACACCTTACAATTTATTGTAACACTCAATTGCCTAACTAATGAAATCTCACATACTGGGTGTCTCAGAAAAGTATACCCATTTTAAATAATTGCAAACATGGTATTTATGATAATTTTATTAGTTTAAAAAGATAAAAATAATTACGAGTATAATTTTGTTGCCTTTGTTACTGCGTGTTCTCAAATTGACGTCCATTTCATCCAGAAACTGTAACCAACGCAGAGCATAAAATAATTCCCTTGGTGTTTGGTCGCAATCATGTGCAATGGCTTCTCTTAATTCAATTATTTCATATAAAGTCGAAATGCAGTGAAAAACAACTAAATGATCCTTGTTACTATTTGTTAATAAAAATTATAGTAAACGCCAAGTTAACAAATATGTAAAATGAGGAAACATTTTTGGAACACCATGTATAGGGCGCAAAAATGCCCGGTGCAAACACATAGCTACCTGTTGTCTCAAAAGTCCTACTGCAGTAAAGGAACAATCGTTCCACAAGAGCACGTATATCGTAGTTTATAAATGAATCTTAAGCAGTTTAGAAATACAAGCATCTTAAGAAAAACGGAAAATGCCATAAAGAGTAAGAGTTCTAGATGTCCAAAAAGCCTATTCATTTAAAATATCGTGTAAATAAAGTAGCATCAGTCGAATTGCATTTCTTGGTGAACTTTCACCGACTGTCCACAGAACTCACTGGTCCCGCCCCGCCTTTGCCTTGGGCTTTTATAACACTGGAAATGATGACGTATTTATCGCTCCTTCAAGGACGTGCCGAAAATAATCATACTTCTACAGCAGAAATACTTATAAATAGATATGACAGTTATATTTAGGCAGATAGTAATGCCGGCACAGAAAATAATGACTAAAATAGCCATTTCTGGCTTATTAGTTGTCGTCAGCCAGTCCTACCCAGACCGAAGCGGTGCACCACATGACCCTCGAACTCACGACCTTTTGATCTACTTTTATCACCCTAAACATTGAGCCCTTTACCTAGCCACTAGATACTAGGTGATACAGCTGCTGTCAGGGCCTGAGTAATAAGGCCCAAAGCAAAGGGGCAGTGGAACAAGTGAGTTCTTTTAGCGGTCGGTTACCGTCTACCACATAGTGTCACTATCACCCAACCTAACCTACAGCACAGCACAGCGCGCTCGTGGCTCAATATTTAGGACGTTGGACTCTGATCAAAAGATAGAGATAGAGATAGTAATTCCAGGCTTCCTTGTCTTTACAGGCAATACTAGCTAGAATTAAATTTGCAAAAAAGTGCTTTAGCGAGTTTTTGAGAGATAATTGGTTACACATTACGTGCGATAAAAAGTACGACTGTTACCAAACGGCGCAATGTTTGAAAATGTACTCCAATTTTGTTTCGCTAGAACCGCATCTTTCTTTTTCCTTTTACACATAGTTTGAAATGTATTGGACTTAACCGACAAGATTTTTGCTTGACTACGCCGCAGAAATAAGGTATTTAATAAGCCCACATTTGGCCATGCTGGGTATTGACTAAGTCATTAAGTGAAATTGTTGGGTACAATCCTAAACTTACCGTTTTGTATACATTAGGAGAACATTCCTTCTGTCACATATATTTGTAATTATTACGGGTGCTTCATTACGACGTAGTTTAGATCGTTCCTAAAAAGTAGCGAATGCTTAAAGATTTGCAATGTTTAAACTCGATTGTCTATAACAACGGATCATGTTCTACGTGTTTATTAAAACCTTTAAAATACGACATTCCTTAATAGCATTTAACGAACGAGTGAGTTCTTGGATTAACTTTCTAATGCAGCAAACTGGTGTGTTGCTGAAAAACGTTAACGTGCAGAACAAGATTTACAAAGTAATATGCTTTAGATCAAATAAATTGTTTTCTATGACAAGTTTTCACTTGAAAAAGCGTTTTATTTACATACTTAGAAGTCGAATGGCTGCATACTTACCTTCTACCAGGGTTAGGGCGAGGTAAAAATGAGAACATTTGAGGGTATTTTGAGTTCTCTGAAAACCGGGGACACACTTTCGTCTAGAACTCATTACTTTATGTGAACGGGAATAGTTTTCATAATTTTTGTTTGTATTCAGCTCCCGTTTTAAGACTGCAACAGCACAGCAGCAAGACAGAAGACATAATAGGTTTTCGAAAAAGACTGCTAGCATTCCATTCGTTCCGGCTGAGGTTTCCAAATTTGTCCAGCTGTAGTGTGCAAGAAAAAGAGTGTCGGCATGCCGCGGTTGTTTATATATATAGTTGTTTTTTCAAGGTTCTAATTATTGGAGTAACAAAGCAGATTACAGCCGCACAAGTTGAGTACTTGATTTTATTGCAAAAAACGTAAAATATTGTGGCAAAATATTTTTTATGCTAAATCTGCCCTCCCTTTTTTGAAAACAATTTGATTCCTCGAGTTTGCACTTGTACGATTTTCATGAATGGCGAGTAATTGTTTGCGTTCTGTGAAAATGTATAGTACAAAATTCCCAGGCTTTAATGATTAGTCCCCTATACTGGAACAGACATAAACAAGAAGCCTCGAACCGTAGGACTTAGTGGCGTAGGAAAGTCCTTGCATATCAGGTAGTGGTGGATTTTACCCATTTCTGCCCTTTTTCCCATCCATAAGCTAACTGAACAGGAATCTTTAAGTGACCCTTCTTTGAGCCTCAAATCATTTGAATAAGCAAAAATATTGCCTGCAATATATGTTGAACTGTCTCATCCAAGGTCTATCTTCACATTTCCTCAGTTAGCCAGCCAACTGTAAATAAGTAAAATACTGGTAGACTTTTCCACATTTTACTTTTTAGACATAAAGACGTAGTTGTCTTTGTGAATAACTGAAATCTAATATATTTGTGAAATTGTAAGCTGTAGTGTTTTTCGAGTCTGAGGCTATCAGAATTTAAAGTAAATATGCTGGTTAAGGAAATTTTATGCACGTATCAGCGAAAAAAATACTACCAAATGAAAGGAGAGTGGCGCCTACATAAATGTGAGTAAAACTGGAATGACCAATGGTGCTTCCTTGGCTGTTATTAGCCAGAACTACGCAACTCCAGGACCCTGGGAGTCATGTGACACGTAAATTGATTGGTAAGTCTTACTCTACGATTGCTCGTATACCTAACCGCAGGTGACAGCGCAATCAGCTCGTGACTCCAGAGCTTGGGTTGGCAAACCTGGGGTTGGGTGCGGATGGCTGGCTGATGATGTTTGTTAAGCCAGAAATGATGATCTTGGTGCACTTTGTCTTTGCGGAAAATTTCAGCCTGCCTTTGATATTAGCCACTGCGCACTTTCTGATGGGGCGTATAGTGAAACCAAAAGGCACAATGGGACGAATGAAACCCGTAGTTTTTAGGGCTCCCCTGTAATTTATTTTAATTGTGGTTTTGTCACTTGGGCCTGCGCTAGTCTACTTTAGCATATAGTTTTGACAAATGATGGTAAGCATTCTACGTTTTGTAACGATTATGGTGTCTCTTTCCATCACTGCCTATTATAAGAATAAAAGTTTGGTTGCGTCGCCCCTGGCGTTTGCCTAGTATATACCATCGATGAAGTTGGTCGGTATTTAGGAATTTGTGTATGCAAACAAGGAAGAACCGTACGAATATAACTATTCAGGCGATCAACAACTTAAACTCGGACACAACCGAGACTTGAAACCCAATAGGCACGAACACGTAAGGGAGACGCAAGAGGCTTGACGGTTAAATTCATTTCTCACAGACTTGTGCCGTTGGGATTTATGGGATATAATTAACTTTTTTGAACCTATTAAGCAAATGGCAACAAGTTCCGACACTATCTACGTTACCAAACTTAGAACGGGGAGAAGGGTTGCCGTCTTTTGTCAAAAATATAGGCCTAAGTAGACTAGCGTGCGCCCATGCGGCAAAAGCACAAACAAAATGAATTACAAGGGGTCCTACAAACTAAAATGTTCTACGATTCATCAGGATAAACCAATATTTCCATGCAGGCATGAAACAGGCAAAAACCATGGCCAATAATTGTCACAGTCGAAATTTTGCCAGTTAACAAATTAATCATGAATTATACCTGCTTAACTCTGACGCATTTTGCGAAACGCTAGATTTTGTGTTTGTTGGTTTATTTTTCGCACAGTATTTGTCCGTAGAACCAAAAAGCAGTACTTCTAAAAACTATGTGGAGACAAAACAACCCGGTAGCAGTTTTAAAGGGTAGGAAGGTTAATTTCTGCATTTTGGCCCAATATAATTTACATGTAGGCAATTTTACGTATTCGATGATGGCACTGCGAACCAGTCAGCTTTTTTGACTCAAGTTTCATCAGAAATCGTGTATTTTCATAGAAGCCTGATAAACTAGGAAGATAAATCTTAATTAAGAAGAGAACTTACTGCAGGTAGAGCAAAGAAGGAAATTCCAGCCACAGCGCAGCAAGCAGCTATCACCTTTCCGATCCACGTCTGCGGTACTGTGTCCCCATATCCCACGGTGCAAAGGGTTATCTGGTGATAAAATGCGGCATTTGCGTCACAAAGTGCTTAACTTTAGTTGCATGGATATTCATGCTGTAGCCTTTTTCTTTATCCAAATGTAATAATGCTGTAAGTGGGTATACCAAAAAGTATGTTTATGAGAAAAGGGTTGATCGATTAACCAACTAAGTAAGGAAACCTAAAGATATTTTGAACACATAAAGCGTTTAGACTGTGCCCACAGCAGAATTTAAAAGCAATTAACTAGCACGGTTTGAACTACTGAACTAAGTCCGCACCAGATAAAGAAAGCGCTACATTGAACGATTATCAAATAATTCATCTCTCCAGAGTTATTACATTAAATTAAGTAGAAGGGCATTACCAGCAAACACATGGGAGAGTAGGAAGGCCTTTGCTGCCTTAATAGGCGTCGTCGGCTTGTGATACCCAACTCCAGGATGGCAGCTGAAATTGTTGTCTCGCAATCTCTCCCATCAGAGCGAACGACCTAACATTTGAGCTACGAGCTCTGGGTCTTGCCGGTATTAGATCGGGGATATACAGTGGCATATATGCGTACACCGATCTGTCTGAGGACCCAATCGTCCGTCAATATTGCCATTAGAGCTCTCTCGAGCCTCCACCGCGAGGCGACTGGGATATAGGTAGAAGGACATTACCAGCAAAGACATGGGACACCAGCAGGCCTCTTCTGCCTTATAAGCGTCATCAGCTAGTGATACCCAACCTCAGTGTGGCCACTGAGATTGCTGCCATACCCAGATTTGAACTCGCGATTAAGTCAACTTAGTCTACTGGTACAATGTTTTAATTTTTCCACTATGTCTGAGCAAAGCGACAGAGTCGCTGATCACTCCCATAGGAATTGAATGTTGATGTGAATTTTGTTTGATTTGCGACTTGTCGAAAAACCACATTTTAGTTGGAATTTGAACAATTCCATTGACCTTTTACAGAGCCTTTGGCATTCGTATTAAGAATAATAAAGAAAACGACGTTCGCACATTTTAAACGTGTTAAGAATATTTTAAAACTTCTGCTCAACGTCATACCCGGTTTGAGCTGATTAAGTAGTCTGCTCGACACGCGCCCACAGACAAAACAAAGGGAGAAACCAGACACTGCGAAATGTGAAGTGCGAAAACGTTTTTTAGTTGTCTGCAATTTCTATCCTCGTCTTCGGACGTATGATAGCGTTTTTAACCCTGGCTGGGAAAGTGGGTACTTATATTGATAAAGTTGTTGACAGGCTTGGAGTTGGGAATTGTTGAGCACGATTCCCTCAAGCCATTAATCTCAGGCATACAATTCACTGAAATCAAATCTTTTCTGGGATTATAGGGGCAGACCAACAACTAAACTGGAATACTTAGTTGTACGTGTTCTATTATAGCCCACCTGTCGAACTTTCTATTGTAAATTTTTATAATCCGTGAAAAAAGGTGTCTAATTATTTAAGCTATAGAAATAGTAATTTTGCCAGACTGCGGAATAGATAAAGGTCAGATCACTATTTGTAAGGCAAAAGTGGCTGAGGTAACAGTTTGCAGATAATTGTCAAGCTGTAACTCACCACACCCCACCATAAGGCGTCCGCATAACTGGTTATGTTTTGGTTCTGCTTTTTCTCGACCAAATAGATAAGGAAGGAACTGAAGATCAGTCCCAGGAATCCAATGTACATGGTCGTAAGAAGTTCCTGAAAAGCAAAATTTTGTTAATTATTTCGATTTTATAATCAAATTCTACAAATAGTTGGTTTTTAAAGTTGTGCGGTGCTATGACTAAAAGTCGATAATAACACGAATCAAAAACGAAGGCAAAAGAAAGCTTTACATATATTCAAATCATGATATTGAATATCCACAGGAACACATGAATCAATACATTAAACGTTTTCCCTTTCATATATGTGAGGAGAAGTACGACATCGAATACATTTCCATAGTGCTCTTTGAGGTTGTGTCGAAACGTGCAATACAACATTTCCCAAATCCTGTAACAGGTCTGCATAGGTGATAGGTTCAAACATACAAATTGATCGTACGAAGTAACTTTCATTTTTTTTTCAATTTCCTTTGGAGCATATGGAAACAAACCTTAGTTCCTCCAATCAGTCAGTGTAAAACCTACAACACTGTATGCGTGCGTGCAGCCATTTTACGTTTCAATAATAATACAAAAATTAAGGACTAAAACGCCAATGTGCGCTACGATGTGTTCAAACAGCAGTTGAAGAACAGGTTCGGCCTAATAAGCATTTACATGAAAACAAAACTACTAAAGATGGAAAACATCCATCGTGGAATTATTGAGCCTGCTCAATGAAGGGATATGTTT